TAAGAGATGGGAGCTGTAGTGACCTGCTGTTTGTCCTCAGTTTAACACCTGGTTAAACAAACACATTTTTAAAAGCTTGTGGACTATTTTTCATGGAGTTAGAAACCCAGATGAAATAATCGATCTGTATCTTCTGCCTCTCTTGTAAAATGAGGCTGAGTCAAAGAAGCCGATTCTCAGAGTTTTGCTTGATTTGTCGAGCAGATAGTAAATATATCGGTACAAAGGTTTCTTTTTTAACTTCTGCCATATTGATAAAACTAAAAAAATAACCTTCCACAGAGTGACATACCAAAAATTTTAAGTTGTTTACAAATTTGCTATTTTACAGTGAATAAAAAAGGGTGTGTGTGTATATATATATATATATAGTCTAGACTATACTTAACTATCAGAGTAAAGAGTGATGGAAATCTATAAATTTTAAATGTCTTCCACTGCATATTACTTGTTTTGTTAGTTGATTATGAAATATCCTTTTAAAATATAATGGTGCCCAAAGGGTGAAAATGTTTTGCAAGCATTGTAGCAATGATAAAATATTATTTTAATTTATGCTAGCAGTTACAGAAAAGCTCAACTGATTTGTAGGGCCTCAATATGAAGATCCAACACAATTAGCTTAATACTAGAAAAAACTTTATTTCAAAAATAGCATACAAAATAAGCATACAAATTACTGTCCCGAAAACAATGATTCTCAGAAAAAGAACCTTGAGCATCATGTTTCTCACTCCCTCATACAGTACATATACAGTTGCAAAGAAATGTTCAGAGCAACTAAATTTACAGAGTTCAAAGCTAGCTGTTACAAAGAGAATAAAATGCAAAACATCAAAACTGAGCTGTTTTTTGACAAAAAAAAAAAAAAAAACATGGGGCTACAGTACATTCAAATTCCTGAAAATAGTTTATTAAACATTAATGTTTAGCTGAATCATGAATAAAGTCAAAGTAAAACAAATCCCTTGCATACTATGAGATTTTTTATTTTGGAGTAAGAAAAGCATACACATAAAAAGAAAAGATAAAACATAAACATAAAACATGTAGGAAATAACATTGTAAGAAAATATATATCTAAAAATGGCACCCTTAAATCACAACAGTTTAGCTTATTTATATAGCACAGCTGCTGTCTCACAGTCCAAAAATATCTATGCAAGTTAAGTGGTCTATTGAAATTGTCAAATGCCATGAGGAGTACATGTATGATTGCTTAGCTTAGCACCCCCATACACTTATAATGGAGAGTTTTTTGTTTTTTTTACTACTTTCTAACTAGTAGAACATCAGTTTTACTGCTAAAGATTTTTTTTTTTCTAAATCTGAATTGTTGTTACTGTAAAGTGGGTTAGAAGTAACATTGCTGAATATGGAGTTATATATGGTGCAGATAATAATACATTTGTTTAAAAACATCAGAACTGGATGTGAAATGGAAGAAGATGACAAAAAGAACAGACAGAAGACTTTCAGGTTACATATGTTATACAGGGACTAAGAAGTTATTCCTGCTGTGAATTACTGAGTAAATCTTAAAGGTAGGCAGGGTATTGTATGTTGTAATTATCCATAGGCCGTATGGATGAAAAAATATATTGTCAACTCTAAATTAGTGCCAGTTTCTGTATGTCTCCAAGTTTTTTTACAACACCAAAAGATTCAACTCTTGCAGTTTAAAACCAATACTTTCAAGGCATTTGAAAGCCCACTTTAAATTTATACCATACCAATCTATACCATACCATTCTTTCTTAGAATGGTATACAAAAGGGAAAGAAAATAAGAGGGAGAACTCTTTGAGATACTTTACATTGTAATATGCCTCCTAAAAATTATCTTTATATTATAAATATAATTATTATATTATATAGAATTTATTATAATTATTAATATTTATTATGATGATCAGTTGAATGGCTTAAAATGTTCCTATACATTCTGTAAATTGTTTTTATCATCTACATATAGCTTAGCTCACATTTGTTTGATAAAGCATAATTCACATAATTAAACTTAATGACTCCATTTGCAAACATTGTTAGACTTTTTCATTATAGCCATGTGAATAAAAATATTGGTTCATTTTGTTTAATCTGAGTTTATAGATCCCAGACCATAAAAACAACAAAAACGCCCTGAAGTTGTTTTGTTTTTTTAACTGAGCAGATCAGAGCTTATTTGTTCTATTTTCACATCTATGTTAAAACAAAGTAAAAGTTAGATTGGTATGCATCTTGGTAAACAGTGGCAGACACAGTACTGTAAATATTTAAATGTAAACACTTCCTTGTCCTTAAAAAAACATTTTTAAATGCTATCTGATTATTTGGTTGTTAACACAGAACAATTATCAGACGTCACGGTTTCCTGACTTGAAAGTAGGGCTGGGCGATAATTCAATAACGATATATATCGATCGATAGACATGTGGCCCAATAGAAAAAAAGAGGGTCGATAAAAGTTCGATAAAGAAACGCAGTTTTCCTTCCTTTTCATTGTAGCCTATCATGTAGGTTTATGCTAGTCGCTACTTCCTCCTAACCAATCGCAATCGCGGACCCAGGGACGCCGTTACAAAGCGCTGCCCTCTCAATCCACAACACAGAGCACATGAAGATGTCGCAGCAAGGAGAGGCGGAGGAAATTGTTCCAAAGAAGGGTTTTTGTAGTTCGCCAGTTTGGCAGTATTTCGGTTATGGCAAGTCGGACAAAAAACAAACCACAGTCATCTGTAAAATGTGTAGGGAACCGGTGAAAACCAAGTCTGATAACACAAGCAACTTATTTTTTTTTTATCATCTCAGCCGCTCACACCCGCAGGAGTACGAGCTGTGTAGGCCCCGCCGCGGCTCTCCTACGAGGAATCTTCGGGAATTTAGGGGGGGAAAAAAATAAAATAAATATATACACTCACCGGCCACTTTATTAGGTACCCCATGCTAGTAACGGGTTGGACCCCCTTTTGCCTTCATAACTGCCTCAATTCTTCGTGGCATAGATTCAACAAGGTACTGGAAGCGTTCCTCAGGGAGTTTGGTCCATATTGACATGATGGCATCACACAGTTGCCGCAGATTTGTCGGCTGCACATCCATGATGCGAATCTCCCGTTCCACCACATCCCAAAGATGCTCTATTGGATTGAGATCTGGTGACTGTGGAGGCCATTTGAGTACAGTGAACTCATTGTCATGTTCAAGAAACCAGTCTGAGATGATTCCAGCTTTATGACATGGCGCATTATCCTGCTGAAAGTAGCCATCAGAAGTTGGGTACATTGTGGTCATAAAGGGATGGACATGGTCAGCAACAATACTCAGGTAGGCTGTGGCGTTGCAATGATGCTCAATTGGTACCAAGGGGCCCATAGAGTGCCAAGAAAATATTCCGCACACCATGACACCACCACCACCAGCCTGAACCGTTGATACAAGGCAGGATGGATCCATGCTTTCATGTTGTAGACGCCAAATTCTGACCCTACCATCCGAATGTCGAAGCAGAAATCGAGAATCATCAGACCAGGCAAAGTTTTTCCAATCTTCTATTGTCCAATTTCGATGAGCTTGTGCAAATTGTAGCCTCAGTTTCCTGTTCTTAGCTGAAAGGAGTGGCACCCGGTGTGGTCTTCTGCTGCTGTAGCCCATCTGCCTCAAAGTTCGACGTACTGTGCGTTCAGAGATGCTCTTCTGCCCACCTTGGTTGTAACGGGTGGTTATTTGAGTCACTGTTGCCCTTCTATCAGCTCAAACCAGTCTGGCCATTCTCCTCTGACCTCTGGCATCAACAAGGCATTTCCGCCCACAGAACTGCCGCTCACTGGATGTTTTTTCTTTTTCGGACCATTCTCTGTAAACCCTAAAGATGGTTGTGCGTGAAAATCCCAGTAGATCAGCAGTTTCTGAAATACTCAGACCAGCCCTTCTGGCACCAACAATCATGCCACGTTCAAAGTCACTCAAATCACCTTTCTTCCCCATACTGATGCTCAGTTTGAACTGCATGAGATTGTCTTGACCATGTCTACATGCCTAAATGCACTGAGTCGCCACCATGTGATCGGCTGCTTAGAAATTAAGTGTTAACGAGCAGTTGGACAGGTGTACCTAATAAAGTGGCTGGTGAGTGTATATATTCAGTTGTGGACAGTTTCCCACGTACTTCTAACAATTGAGAGAAAAAATGCTGAGGGCCCAGCAACTTCAAAGTAATAACTCAGGTTAAAGCAGGAAACTAAGCTGAACCATAATGAGGTGCCAGCAGCACCTCTAGAAAAAATACCCCATAGAAATGCTAGGCTAAAGGCTGAGTTGATTGTTGTTTGGGTTTTTGTTCTTGTTGAGTGGAGTTTACATGGTAGCCTAGTCCTAAAATCTTTTAATTACCACAAGCTGGTGGTGTACTATTCCCACCCAAATAGGGTGTTCTATTTATTTATTTGTTATATTTATTTTGGTCACTTTTCTCGTCACTTTAGTTTATTCTTTGTCAGTATTTAATAACATAACTCAGGTCTCTTAAGTTATTTTTCTTTAAAACAATTCTGTTATGGTTAAAAAAGTTGGTTAAATAAATATTTAACTAGAAGTCTGTGTTTATGTTCTTTATTAAAATTAAATCATTTAGCAAAATCATTAAAAAGTCCAGGCAGAGCTGCACATAAAATATGGTTTCAAATCTTTTCAATAATTATCGATATCGATCAATATGCATTTTTTTTTATCGATAAGCTTTTTTTCTATATCGACCAGCCCTACTTGAAAGCATAGTGATCTTATCGTAGGTGTCACTTCCATCTTAGAGTTACAAGATATATCAAAGGCAACATTAGTCCTACAGATCCAACTGGCTTTAAAGCACATTCAAAACAACTGGCTGGTTTAAAACCACACTCAAAATGAAAGCATTTGCATATATAAGGAAAAAAGAAAAAAAAACATTCATTTGAATACATAAACTATAAACCTGTGTTGCAATCCTCTGAATACATTTCAAATACAGTTAAAAAATTGTTAAGCATTCGTGTTTTTTGTAACATTGTGTAGAACTGGTTCTTTGGCTTTGGAAAGCAAACAAGTCCTTAGCTATGTCAAAATGACAGATAAAAAGTTAATTATGTAGCATGAGGTACCGGACAGCGGTATAAAAATGATGATTTAAATCAAGATCAGTAATGCCTTTGTTTCCCAGGTGTTCAGTTTCTAAAATCAAGAAAGAAAAAAAAAGAAGATGAAATACATTTGAATGAAACAATGTAAAACCTGACTTTTAAAAAATAATGATTGTTGCCTGTTAGGAAACCTATAAGAATAACCAAATACCGTCAGCCTGGGGCTTAGCCTGTAACTTCGGCTGTTGCAAGTCCACAGAGAAGTGTTGTAGTAGTGAATACCACAGCATTGGAAGCCATCCTTCTTATGGTACACAAACTTCTCAGTCGTACTCTTACAGCAAACCTGATATAAAGTTGGATAAAACACTATTTTATCAGAAGCAATAATATCATACATATACATATACAAATCATACATACACACACACACACACACATTTTTAATAAAAATATACGAACAAGGGATTGATACACGTCTCAGTAAATATATTTCTAGGTGTTATTGACATTACATCTTCCCCACTAAGCAATAAAAACCATGCATACAAAGAGATCAAACCATAGATGTCCAGAAATTAAGTTATTTGTAATAAAGTGAAATGACACTTGGCAAAAGTCCACACAATAGAGTCTACACGAGACTCATTTTGACCTGTTTTCAGGACATTCTTCGTATGTGACCCTTAATCCAGGCCTCCATTGGTTAATGAATTTGATTTCCATTGATGAATTTTGTGTGATTTTGTTGTCGGCACCTCAATTTTGTACAGAACAAAGTATGTAGGATGTGTTATTTGAGTGTTCCCTTTAATTTTATTTTTTGGAGCAGTGTATAAAGGGAAAAAAGACAAATGTTTGATCTTATCAAATGTCTTTCCTGACTATTTCTTGAAAAACATCTATATTTAGTAATGTGGAGAGTATTAAGTTTTCTCAGGTTTAAGTGTGACAGCATGTCTCAGGAATTATAGACAAACTGGACTTTTTTACTGGACCCATGTGTTGTAAAGAAAATTAAATAAACATTACGGACAGAACTCAGTAAAAGAATAACAAGACAGGAGTCATCAGAAGGAAGTGAAAGACTTTAGGAATGTTAAAACATCTTAAAACGATTAACTTAAATTAGTACTTATTAATGTCAATTCCACTACAACCTTTCGTTTATTACCTATATTAACATAAACACAAAAACAACAATATCGATTAGGAAGAAAATAGAAATTACAGAGAGGAGATGGATAAAAAGGCAAAATTTCTACAATCACAAAGGTGCTGGAATAATAATTTTACCTCATCTTTTCCAATGACTTTATCACACCTGCATCCTTGGCTGGAAGTAGGGAAAAAGAAAGTAATAAAAATCAATTGGAAAAAATCCAAGAAAAGTATAAAACCTAATATCATATAAATACCATACTGAAAGTTATCATGATACTGCAACAAGCCACAATTTTCACCTTGGTCTAAACGAAAAGGAAAGGAAAAAAAATATTTTTGAGTATCCATTTCTGTGATGTTTGTGATGCCTTCCTTTTCAATTGTACATATTTCAACGTATTTAATTTAGTCTCAGGGGGGGGTCAAATTCAGCTGCAGAAAGCTTTCACATACGGTAAGCTTGTACATAATACATTTTGGTATGTTATTAAAAACCTATAGATGCCTTGTAGCTGACGTCACAGACATTGGAATCTTGCCGTGACCATATTGAGCACCATTTCTGGTCCCCTGCGCATCACAGATAACGCCCATAAGTTGTGCCGTCGGGTGTGACAATTATTGTGACAATTATATGGCAATTATTACCGCTTACCAAAAGAGAATGAACGTCATCAGATATGGCTGCCAGTCATCTAAAGGGCTGACTGGGCACCTACTGCAAGTACTCGAGTGTGCAGTGTACATTTTACATCAGAGTTTCAAAACAAGTCAGGAGAGCGAGCTCAAGCTGTCTTATTTTTCAGAAAATTATTTGATTCAATTACAGCGATTAGACACCTTGCATGAAAGACATGCATTTGATATTAAGACCTGAAGATTTAGCTACAGCGTATACAAAACAAAATTTTGTTTATACAGCTTTCCAATAGTAAATGAGCAGCAGCTTAGCAGTGAAAAAGAACATTTCCATTCATAAAGTGCAGCAGTGATTAAATGCAAATAGCGCAAAAAGGCATTGATGTGGAAGTTCAAAAAGAAATACATATATATCATGACAGTGTTAGATTATTGAAGGGTCTTGGCAAGTAAATATCCAGCGTCCCTTCAAGGTATTGGAGCGACAGTTGTATTGGATAAAAACCTGTTTAGGTTTCTGGGCTAACAAGCCCAGTCTATCCCTTGGAAATCCAATGTGGTTAACCTTTTACTGAGTGAGTCTCTGCACATCTCTGAGCTTTAGTTTTAACTGAGTATTGTTACACTTGCTCTTAAAGCGATTCAAGGCTACAGTGACATCACTGGTGGACCAAGCCTCTCTGAGACTCTCTTAGGAGTCCACACCTAGTCACCTTTCCTCCCTTGGGACTTTGAAAAAGTTAGTGGCTTTATTTTCTTATTGATCCAATGAAACCTGATCTCTCCTCTCCAGAGGTTCCTGTGCCTGTTGCTGATCAGTTCCCTGCTTTTCCTGCAGAGCTCAGTGAATAAATCTTTTAACTGCCAACCCCTGTGTCAGGTTGAGTTTTGGGTCCTCAGTCTGATACCTTAGATGTACATCTCCAGCTAGACCACATCTGTCTTCCCATTCCCATCTCTCTAAATTCAATTTATTTAAATTTTCAATTTATTTCAATTCAATTAATCTCACTTTCAACTTTGAAACTAATTTCACAAATCCAGACAGACTTAAACCCAAACTTTCCACATTTGTGTGATAACAAAGCCAAGGTGCTGCATCATGTAGTGAACTCAATTTATCCTTAAATGCACCAAATGTTACCCTTAAAATGGTTTCAAATAGCATGTTTCTGAACTTTCTGTCGATTTCCTTTTAAGATGTTAGTTCAGCAGTAAAATAATCCCACATAGAGCTCACTGACTGTTTCTTCTTTTGACAAAACAACAAATGAAACCAGTTTCCCCTGAATAGCGACATGCCGGTTGCAGGTGTACTGACAGACAATTCTGTCATCAGCAACTAATAATATAATTGCAGAGTTGCATACATGATGTAGCATAATAAAATGGATTAATTTAGTGAGAAACTAGGTTTGGATAACAGCTGACTGATAGGAAACATGAGAAGAATTGTGAATGTGTCATTATCTCCTAGCAACAAATTTGTTAATACAAACAGTTTTTGCATCAGACCCAATGTTTTCAATGGCTTACATTTTGCTAACTTAAAAAAATAAAAGTGTAAACATAAAAACTTAAATATCATGCTTTGACTTTACATTTGGTACACAAGTTGACAAACTATCAGTTATTACATACCCTTGACAGGTGCTTTGATGTCCATCCGGTTTGATGTTTTTTTCTGTAAGGTAAACATTTAGTAAATATACATATAAAATCCTTTAAAGTTGATTAAAGATTACAAAATAATAGCATAAACTCCCTAGTATTAATCTCCAAAGAAGGAATACATGCATTTTAATTATTGCTTGTTATATAGCTTACTGCATGAAAGATGTTCAAATGGAATAAAAATATTGGCCCTAAGAATCTGTTGTTGATGTCATAGTGCATCCATCATTTATTAGTGCATCCATCTTTTTATTAGTATGAGGAGTGGACAACAGGAAGTAAGCAAAATGCTAAATTGGAAGAATTCAGTTGATATAAAAAATCATTTTAGATACACATTATTCTTCCTGTCACCTTAAGAATTCCCCTTTGATCACAGTTAGAGAGATGTTTGTTTTAAATTTGTCAAAATATGTATGTTGACAAATGTATGTATATGTATATATCAACAATAATAATAAACAAAATGGTTGCAGTCGGTAGCAGCTTACCACAGTTGTCAAAATCACTGATTTTTAGCTGTATCCTTGGAAATTTATCTTGACAGCATTTTTCAATGAGAGGGTCGAACTGACTTCCATAACAGCACCGATGGTAAGCAGAAAGCTTGATCTGGGGGTTTCCACTACAGCAGAGTTTCATCTTTGGATCGTAAGGCTCTGTGGAAAGGATTCACATTTTGTCTGAATATCAACCAAATTCTACCAAAGATCTGGTTGAGAATGTACTGTATATGCCAAAGGAATTGCATAAAAACGTTTAGATGTCTCCAGGTTTACTTACCATTCCCACAGCACTGGGCATCATGGGAAGGTTTTGGTTTCACAGTTTTATTACAGCATATTTCATTCAGAGGGTTGTAAGCTTCTAGCCCACAGCACTGAGACATTCTTTCACTGAGACCCTTTGTCAGTTTACCTGAAAAAGCAAAGGTCCATTAAAACAAAACACATAATAGTAAGAAACTATTACAACTAAATATGTTTTTTGTCTTATATATTTATATATATATATATATACATATACCCAATGTTTTTAAGCATATATATCTATATATATATAGATATATATATATATAGATAGATCAAATATATTTTCCAATTTTCCTAAAAATAAACAGAAATGTGGGTATAGTGCATATTTGTGGTAACATTTATAACGATCAATAATGACATACAGTGTTAGGGACCAATGCACATACTATCTTGGCTGTGTAGATAACGCAAAAGGTTTGTTGCCTCTTTGCAATAATGAGGTGAAGAGGGTTTGAGAAAAACATTTGAAAGAAGCTCCCTGAGGGTCCCAAGGTTCTGTTAGTTGTGTCATAATAATTGAAAAATTATATACTAAACCTTTCACTGCATCTAGCTTAAAAAAGGACTTTCTTGAAGGAAAGTCTAATTTTAAAGTCTGCCATGTTTCGTGTTTTGGAACAGCACTCTCTGGTGAGACGATGCACATTATGGATACAAGCTCTCAACTGAGGAAGTGGTGACCTTGTCTTGCAGTTGGGATGTTTTTGTTTTTTTTGCAGTGTAAGATAACTGGGTCAGATTGAGTTGATGTGAAGATGGATGGAGCTAAACATAGGCCAGATCACAAAAAATGTATCTGTCATAAGCTTGATAAGACATGAAAAAGTGGCAGAGGTTCACAATGCAGCTGGACAACCCTTAAAATATAATTGTATGAACATTTGTGTAAGAATGGCACAGTCCTGCCTTAGTAGTAATTAAATGAATAACCTGTAAGATGTTTCAAAAATTTAGATCTGTGAAGCCAAAGGCGTTGCAACTCCAGTGGAAGACTGTTGCATAAAGTATTTGACTCATTAACTCTTAATATTGCTATACTACGACCTTGTCATTGCCATTGCCAATAATTGGCCTTCTTGATACAATAAAGAAAATGAGTATGAATACTTTTAGGTAATAGGAGGCAAAATGTAATTGGTAGGAATAGTTATGTTTTTTCCATTGACTAATTGCATCAATATGTTAGGGTCTGCTTTCAGATTTAAAAAAGCATGTGGAAAATGCTATTTACACATCATGTGACATGATTCATTGGGGATATAAATACATTTCATTGAAAAGCTCTCAATTTTCATACAATTCAAGTTTCTAACAAAAAGAGCCAATACCATTTTTTCTGTCAGCGTGGACTGGACAACATGTATCCTTTGAGGTATCATAGCATGTTCCATTACAGAAGGATGTTCTGCTGGATTCAAAACACAAATGATAGTCATGAATATTAGAACTCATTAAAAGTTTAGTACTTCGGTGATGTGAATCTAAAAATGTGAAGAGGTAAAAAAAATCTGCTTTTCATTTAAATAATCCATCATTGGGGAAACAGATAACGATGGCAGGTACAGAGCATACTGTGACACCTATGAATAAACATTCATAAACATCAATGAATTAGACTAGTTTGATTCAACTACTTAACCTAGAAATATTTTTAAAAAAAGTTATATTTCTAACTTTACCACAGAACAAAAATGTAAGATTGTCAGCTGCCACATAGGGATTCCAGGAGCCTTACCATTTTGTAAAGTACAAAACTTAGACCATAATGAAGCATTTTAACAGAAATTACATACAACAATCATCATATTAACAAGAAAGAACAAAACCATCTTAATGAAGAAACAAGCTTATAGCATAAAACTTGGTTAAACCACTTTTTCAGCTAATTTTAAAGCTGCCATCTTATTGTGTTCTTCTTCTTGACTTGGTAATATTTGTTCTTTATTTAGCAACAGTTTTCTGAATCTATCAGTTAGTGAGAGCATCTTTTGTACCAGACACGCTTTGAATTATCCCACAGATTTTTTATGTGATAAATAAAAAAAGACAGTGATACTAATAGGTTTTCATGACAGGATAAAACATTTTCCCTTTAAGAATAACCATATACACAAATGAGCAAAAATTCAAACAGAAAGAAAACTCACATTGCACTTGAAACCACTTGGATTTTCATCACAGAATCTGTAAAATAATCAAAAGTCTCAGTAGGTCAACATGTGAAGTTTTTAATTTACAATTGTGCAAAAAGCAACTTCAGTGAAAAAATGTATGCTTTGCTAAAATGATGGTCTGAATTATTGATTTAAAATAACTACAGTGATTTGGTTAAGATTTGTCCCTTGCAGCGGGAATATAGGGTAGGGAAATTGAGTGTCATTAATCAACCTAACAGTCATGTTTAAGTCAAAGTACAGAAGAGAAGCCATGCATGCACAAGAAAAACACACAAACTTGATGCAGAAAGATCAAGCAAGGGTCCAAATCAATTATCTTTTTGCTACTAGGCAACAGATTGGCCGCAGGAAGTGGGGGTGCTTTAACTCCCCCTAGATGCCAGAGGGGGATTTTCAAAAAACATTTTTAAAATACTTTGCACAAATTTATAAAATTTGTGCAAAGTATTTTGCCTTTTTCGTTTTACTGTTATATGTATTTGGATTTTATTTAATTATTTTAAAACCTAATCAACACAAGTTCACGGAAGTTACATTGTCATGGCAACATAAAGCAAGCTAGTGGTCACAGAGAAAAGAAGAATCCCACTTGCGGCAGCAGACTAGTAAATTTACAGTCTGACAGAAACAAGGACGAAATATGGCACAGAAACGTATTTCTAATTTTTTTTTTGAAAACCAGCACCAGTGAAGAAGAACGGTAGTACCGCAACCACAACAATGGAGAATGGCTGGAGTGAGGAGACTGTCCACCCGTCTCTGATGGCAGTTGCACCAGCAAACCCAGCGTATAACCAGGGCACCCTGCTTATAGCTCAAAGTAAGAGCATGGTCCGGCTGATCACTTTCATATCTATTTGTGCATTTTAATGTAACCATAGTATTATATTTTGATGCTGTGTTCTTTGTGTGATGGATGCCTATAACTGTTAAATAATCTTTAAATAGTATAATAGAATTTTTCCTTGTGGTTTGAGTAAAATGATTTTGGAGCTAATAGAGTCACATGTGACAAACACAGTGACTCAGGTTCATGCCAGTTGACCAAATCTACGTTGTTATAGTGTTATTGTAAAGTTTAATTGATAGCACATATACGTATACACCTTAGAACTGATGATGTCTGTGTGTTACAGACCCTGGTTGCGTGCAATGAAGTATATATAACAATAAAGTAGTAAATCTCAATCTGTTTACTTTTATTTATTGTATTTTAAATAAGCAAATTAGGCTCATAGGTCTTTTGTCCAAACAAAAAATATATATTTTTTCAGAGCACACCCTGTTCAAAATGACTTCCAGCAGCCCTGGGCAACAGTGATAGAATCTGTGCCACAGTGCTGCACTGTTAAAAACTGGATTTCAAAAATGCATCTTGAGTATGTACGTTTATATCTACCTAAGCCAAAGAAGTGTTAGCACTGTCCTTCAACTACAAGATGCACAATCTTCCCTGTAACTGCAGCTCGGTGCAATAATGAATGAATCGGTTGTGCTCAAAACAGCTTTTACAGCCGAATCTTTGATATGAACGATGTGCAGTGGTTCCTCACAGAGTCTGAAAGCTGCGCGGAAATGTGTGGTATCCAAAGGCGTGACAAAGCTGCTTTTGTCACCAAACAAACATTAAGATGAGCGCCCTCCCTCTCTGTGTGTCTGAGCTCAGAGGGGCTAAAGACTCAGAGGCAGCACAGAACTCAGATACAAGGAATTGCACAAATGGGAAAGAGCAAACAGGAGAGGCAAAAAAAAAAGTCAGACTGCAGCGGAAGAAGGCGTGACTGCAACAGAGGTTTCAGCAAACCAGAGCAGAGAAAAAGGGGGGAAGGTGCACACGCAGAGGCTGCACACTGTAATCAAGAGTGAAAGTCACCAGAGCAAAATCTGGACACATTCTAACTCCAAAAAAAGTGCAAGGGCAGAGTGTAGATTCTGCAAAGTGAACATGTCCCACCTTGCAGTCTCTACCAACAACCTGAACAAACATATCCAAACTATGCATCTATCGGTGCAATTCGAAGAAAAAAAGACAAGCAAATGAACAGACAACTATTGAAGGTTCCAGTGTCAAAAGCTGAGGAGTCACCGAATCTTTTTAGGGAGCCAATGCATAATATTTTGAACTCTAAAAAGAGCAGGAATTCCCATCCCTACAGTAGAACCTTCACAGCAAAGAGAAACAAGAACCCATCTCAGTCTCACAAACGCTGTGATTGATTTAACATTGACTTGAACGCAGTTTTACGCATAGGTGTTTTCTTTGACAAAATATCTAACGTGTAAAAAATATCACTTGTGAAGTCGTTTTTAAATAGAAACACATCGACCTTAACTATTACTAATCGATGCTTGAAGATTAAAATTGTCAGAGAAATTGGTTAACAAAGGGAAAAGGAGCTGTCCACACTGATATAAGAATGTGGTTTGTGGCATTGCCACATTATCGTTGAGTCATTAAGCTCACTCACCGCCCACATACAGGGAGAAAAATTAAAAATAACTCCATATGCGGTTTCGATAAAACATCCAAAGTTAATCTCGGTTCCTCTTCTCTCCATCCCACACGCTTTTCACAACTCACGGAGGACGGACGCATCTGTGGTTATACTGGAAAGCAGCCACAGCTGCTCGTTTTTGGTATCTGTCATCCCCCCGCTCCGCTCCCTGCACGCATTACTTTCCTCGTCCACTCTTTTCACTCAGATTAAAGCCGCCCTTTAGTAAAGAAGCAAGTCGTCCAAAAAGGTACAAGACGCGTCGCTTGGCTTTGTATCTGCGCCGTCTCGTAAGCAACTGCAGCGCGCTCAAAAAGCGAGCGGAAAAGTCTGAGCTTTTTTTCTCATATTACTAGAGGGAAGAAAATGTTACCCACAGACTCCTACGGAGATCCCACCCCCCTATTCAAATTTACGAAAAAAAAAAAAAAAAAAAAAAAAGCCTAAATCAATGAATGAAAAATTGTATTTTTTGTTTACCTGAGCAGACACTCTCAGATGTGCGCAAAAAATAACCAATAGTCGCATAGATCACCAAAGCATACCAAAGCACACCATATGAAAACATGTTCTAGGATTTAATTCAAATATGAAATAAATACTTACCGAAAGAACTGAAGAAAGCGCACACCAATAAGGCTGAAATAAAACAGTTATACTAATATTTATTACATGTTAATTTTCTCAGCTATTTCTTTAATGTGCGCAACAGAATAATTCTTACCCAGTTGGAGTCTTTGAAGAGACCGCATTTTTACGCGCATCTGACCTGTTGCTGCTGAGAGCATCTCTATCAGGAGCTTTTAAAAGGTTTGCATTAGTCCCACCTCTCACGTGTTATCTCCCCAAAATATGGCATATATAAGCAAGGAGTGTTTGTCCACCCCAACGTCAGATTTAATTAATCCTTGATTCTGAGGCGTAATGGACTTTTAATGGATTATTATAATTTTTTTTATTATTATTACCAGGATCATCTTTATTTCATTCAATTTATTTTACCTCTGATTTCTAGCACAAGCAAAAAAATTTTCTTATGATTTTGTTAATTACGCTTTCTCTTGATTTTCTGTTTAGATTGTCTTTTCAGTTTAATGGCTTTGGATGGATGGATGGATGGATGGATGGATGGATGGATGGATGGATGGATGGATGGATGGTGGCAGGCGAATCTTCTTACCACCTTTTCTTTCAATAACAGAGGCATGAGTTGCTGTTTTATTACTCAAGCGTTGCACCACTTGGAAAACGGCAATCAATACTTTTATTTATGCTGACATAATCGGTTTCCTCTCATTTGCTTGTCAATTAAAACACGTTTTCTATGTTGCTCTTTGTATTCTTAGGCTGCTTGGGTCTCAAACATCCCTTGGGTCTCCGTGTAACATGGCATACCTTGAACAGCTCAATCCGCTCAACATCTTACTTATCACCTAATCACAGTATTTTCCATCCAAAACTCTCTGCTCCTAAATTTTTGCTGCGCTCCTTCTTTTACTGGCCTGCGCTCACAGAGCGTTGGGGATACTTTAACAAGTTAACCCCCCCCCCCCCCCCACCCAAAAAAATAATAATATTTTATAGAACAGAAATTATTATTATTTTTTGATAGCTACAAGTTTTTTTTTTTTCTTTTCCATTTTTTCCGCGACTGCTACTTTCTCAATGAAACTAAGGTTAATTCAAGGTGTGTGCTGTGGAGCATTGTCCTGGTGCTTTCTTGCCTTCTCCCTCGTCATATTTTGAGCTTCTACACCATCATCCGGAATAAACAAGTGATTACACAACGCATTGTGGGATAGTTTTATTCTTATATATTTATATTTATCTATGTAATATAACTACCCTGGCTTCTTTATGTTTTTACATAATATCACACCTTTGTTGGATGGATGGAGCTACATGTGGAGTGGGCTGGGGTGGGGGTGGTGGTGTTGGGGGGGGGGTGTAGGGAGTGTAGGGAGAGAAAAATACATGTAAGTAGAAATAAAATTATACAGTGAGACATAAATGTATATAACTCTTTAAATTACCTTTTATTATTTTATAATTTATTTGCCTTTGGAATATTTACCTTATTTATTTTTTTGTCTCATCAAGTCATCATGTTCAGATTGGACAGGCAAAACAATAATTCATGCATCATGTGCGGATAAGAACTACTTCAATTGTGCAGACACAACAAGAGAGCGCAGGGTGCAAGGGAGGAGGTTGCTGGTGAAACCTGTGCAGCATTTCTGTCCAAAGCGATGCTCTGTTCAATCAACGTTCCAGGCGAATGTTTGATCAGAGAGCTGATTGGATCAGTCCGATAAGTTTCTCTGGGTTACTCTCTGACAGTCACCTAGTTACCACTCAAAGCTGTGCATCCTGTGAAGCGGCAGAGGTTGAATCCTCAAGTACAAAATGAAAATATAGGACTAAATTTACAGCAGAATATACTAAAGTATATCCACGTCTATAGTGAAAGGGAGGAACAGGGGGCCAGGAGGGGGGCAGTGTGTTTTTATGGGGGCACAGAAAAGCATGAAATAAAAAACAGGGCAAGGGATTCAAATATATTAATAGAGATGCATGAAGTTACATTTCTTTTCAATTAGGTTCAATAAAAATTCTGTTTCTTATGAGGTCAATATACATTAGTAATTTAGGAATTTTGAAATATTTTTGACTTAATTTAAGTAAAACTACCGTTTTCTATCAAATTTAGATTAGAATAAAAAAAATCTGTTAAATTCATTTGTAAAAATTAGAGAATTTTTTTCTATTAAAAAACATTTAGCAGATTAAAACTGCGGTCCTATCTCAATACCACTGAAGCTATCACCTTACTGTTTTTGAATAATTAGTAAAACAGAATTTGTAAAGAAAAAGAATGAAATAGATCCAAAGGACCTATCAGAAACCATGTCTGTTCCAGGCCAGATCATCACTGGAATTTCTTTTAAATATTATGTCTTCAGTACAGGGACCATAACGGGGCAGGACATAATCTACAGCACTGGCCACCGTTTGCCCCCGTCTAGAACCAGGAATGATCACACCGTGGTGAGGTGCACTGTATGCTAAGTCCCATTAAAAACAGAAAGTACAACCGATGTTCAAAGCTACAAGATTGAAAGTATTAAAAATAAAAGACCAATAATGTTCTGTTTAGTGTTTAAGAAATTACTTTAAGTTAATAAACAGTTGATGAAAAGTTGCTGGCCTTAAGTGTGTATGTATGGGGCACGGTGCGGGTCCTTTGTCTTCCTGGGTGTGTGTGTGTGGGTGTGTTTTTTGTTTGTTTTTTTAGGGGGGGGGGCGGTATCAGCATCTCCCTGAAATGAGTTTTTGGAACTTGGGATGTCTAGACTGGTGTGGCTGACTCACCTGCAGCCACATCACAGCCCTTTCTGGAACCACTATGACACCCCTGCAATAGAACATTGTCCTTCAGGGATTTTAACATGTGAAAATGTGTATTTTTAATTTTATTTTGGATTTAACAAGAAGCCAATGAAGAGAATATGATCTCTTCCTTTAAAATTTTTATCAGAAATCTGGTTGCAGCGTTTCGATCAGCTGAAGGCTTTTAACTACATTTAATGTAGTAACAGTTACAATATAC